TGGGATCCACACCAAAATCTGTGGGATCCCATGCTCTCTATAAGAGACACCATGGCATTCTCCAACAGCCAGGAATGCATCCCCTCCTCTATTTCAGAGCCAGGACAATTAGTCCTTTTCTCTCAACGTAACCCTCTTCAGCAAGTCACACATTCTTTTGGAAGCTCTAGTGCAGAGCCCAACACTCTTCTGGCCTTTGGGCCATACACACACTGCACCAGCCCCCCCTGACCTCAAAGGAATCCAATGGCAAAGCAGTGCCTAAAGCATACACAAAAGCGAGTCAAAGATGTTATAAGGTTCTTCAAATACTGTCAGTGGTAGTAATCTACTCCTATTCTAGAACAAGAATAAGCTCTGTAGAAAAAGTGTAAATACCACAATTACCATATATTAAACTGAAAATAAAGCAGAGGATTTATATTTAGTTATTGTGGCAGCTGGCTGTCTCTGTGTAGGTCTTTCCCTGTGTAGCTCTTCGGAAAGATAACTGCTTTCACTCTATAAGAAAATTCTAAATTTTTGTCCTCCCACTACAGATCTTTTCAACACATAAATAAATTAGAAAGTAGAAAAGGTAGTAATTAAATTATCATGGCAAACATTTTCTTTTTAAATCATATATCTACTAAGAACTAGTCCTAAGACTATTTGAAGTATATAAAATTATTACATACTGGATGACAGTGGCATGCTAGGTATAAAAAAGATTACTATCTTAAATCACTACTCATTTAGCTTTAAAGCAAACAAATTATTACCGTGTGTTAAATTTTTTCAAGAAAAATATTAAAAACTTTAAAAAGTGGGAGAAAAGGAGATCAGAAATCTAAAATCTTACAGTCCACATGTACCAGCTGAACAAGAGGAAACGATCTCCTTCACAAGACTTGATACAATGATTTTAAAGTGCTAACAATAGAGGGCTTCCCTGGTGGCGCAGTGGTTAAGAATCCGCCTGCCAATGCAGGGGACACAGGTTCGAGCCCTGATCCAGGAAGATCTCACATGCCGCGGAGCAACTAAGCCCGTGCACCACAACTACTAAGCCTGCGCTCTAGAGCCTCCAAGCCGCCACTACTGAGCCCCCACGCCACAACTACTGAAACCTGCGCACCTAGAGCCCGTGCTCCGCAGCAAGAGAAGCCACCACAATGAGAAGCCCACGCACAGCATCGAAGAGTAGCCCCCACTCACTGCAACTAGAGAAAGCCCGCGCGCAGCAACGTAGACCTAACACAGCCATAAATAAATAAACAAACAAACATATTAAAAAATAATAGTGCTAACAACAGAAACATGGTCATTCTGGTCTGATCATAAAAAGCCCTACTCTAAGAACAGGAAACCCAAGATTTTTTTCTCTTCACTACAACTAAGCTTGTATTATGGACAAATCAAGATTACCAGACCTATTTTAAGGATGGGGAAAATGCTCATAGTCTACCTTCTTAATAAGAAGGCTGATGGAAAAAATGAGATCATTTGTTTAGAATTTTTAATTTTGGGGGGCATAAATACATAAATAAATTTAGTGTAATAATTATAAGCCTTCCACACCAAGAGTACTTCAGACTTCTGCTTCTTTTGGCCTCATCTACATTTATGTTTACAGTGAGCTATTATTAGCAATAAGCAAAAATCAAGCTATTTTCAGATATACTGGTACAGTTTCCTAAACATGTCCGATGCAAAAGTTATTAAAAACAGATTCCCAGACCCCATTTCAGATCTATTTACAAGATTTTCAGGGAGAAATCTAGGAGTTTGAATATTTATAAGCACTCCAGGTAATTTCTATGCTCAGGTAAAGTTTAGGAAATACTGCAGCAAGAGCAACTCATTCCAGGGCAGGAGAATAAATTAGAAATCCACTGACTGGGTCCATTAATCACTTCCTTAGTCTACTTCAGCATAAGTATATTAACATAATGCCAGTTAGCATTCCTGAGGGCCTGCTGTGTACTTCATCCTATATGAATCACATTATATGTTTGTTATTCCACATAACAGTATAATAACCTCTTGGGGTGGATACTAGTTTTATCCAAGTTTTGTAGATAGGGAAAACTGAGGCTTTACATAATTTACCTGAAGTCACACAGTATGCAAGTGGCTGCTGGTTCAAAATCAGGCTCTTTGCTGGCAGCAGGCTGCCACCCACTATACTGTCCACTTCTAGCATCAAGTGAGAAGGAGTAAACAAATGGCAAGAGCTGAAATGGAAAGTTCAGAAAGTTTTCTGGGTCAGAAAGTTTTCTTGACCAATGGCTTTCCTAATTTCAACTCTTTTTCCTTGGTTGAAACTAAAACTAAACAGTAAAAACTATTTTGCATACAAGAACATCATCTAACTGCTTAGAAAAAGAGATAAGCTACTCTATCCCTAATGATTGTTTATGTGATTCTAAATGGAGTGGGACTGTAGACCTGGTCTGAGATGCTGCTATCAATTAGCCACGGCTGCTATTAATTAATTAGTTCAGTGACTGGGTTTTTATTTTATTGGGAGGGAGAGAAGGAAGACTCGGATTAACCATTACAACATTTATCTTAAACTCCAAACTCAAGAATGACCATCTAATTGATACTAATACTCCCAAGTATCAAAACTATAAACTGGCAATTGAGAATAAATTCTATGAACATTTTGTTATGATATGGTAAATATATTTAAATTCACAAGATGGGTTCCCACTATGATAATTACATCAAGACTACAGTGTATTATTAAGTTTTATTTATTACTCACAGACCTGCATGTTAGATATTAAAAAAAACCCAAAACTTTGAATGAGACAATAAATGGCTTCATAAGAAAGTATCATGGGGATCTCTTGAACAGTGATGTCCATGTCCTACAATATACAAAAATCTATACATGATTTGTAATATATAGAGAAAGCACACACATGTGCTTTCTCTACACATGTACCAAGAGACATGTACAGGAAATGTCAATGGCAGCATCATTTGGAATAGTACCCTAAATGTCCAAGAAGACAATGGGTAAGTCTATTATGATATAGTCATACACTGGAATACTAAATAGCAGTGAAAAGTAAATGAACTATAGCAACACATCAACAAGAACAAACTTCACAACATGCTGAACTAAAAAAGCAAGGTGCAAATGATTGCCTTCTATGTAATACTAATTAGTATTAAAACATGCTTATTTACAGATACAAAACAAATGCAGTAGAAGTATGGAGGAATACACAGGAATACCAGACATTAAATACCAAATTCAGGGGAGCTTTGGAGTAGAGAGGGGCTGTTTCCCTCCTCAAATATTTTTGCCATCTTTTATTTCTTAGAGCTTAGAGCTAAGCACCAAAGGCTGGTGGTATTTTTAAATAATCAAGCTAACAATTACTTGAACCTGAAAATGTGATGCTCCCCCCACCCAATGCTAGTGACTTTAATGATACTGTAAGACCCCAAGCCTTGCACTTTTAGGATAACTCATATTAAACTCCTAAATTTGTTGTAGACGAGAAAGTCAAATATTAACAATTCCATATAGTTCAAACTAATATTAAAATTCTCTGTATGAAAAGCAAAATAACAAAAAGTAATTGTTCATATTTTTCCTAAGAATTTACTATAAAGTGGTCTACATTTTATGGCAAGACTAAGGAAACAGGGTAGTAAAATTGAAGTATAAAGGATCACTTAACTGTCAATTGGATGAAAATTAAGATAAACTACTCCCCTTTGATATAAAGTATTACTACTTAATTCTTTTCAAAGTACTTATACACATTAATAAATACTTAAAAGATCCTTGTTGGGCAAATCAAGTACTTATACATATAAAAACTGAAGTCCAGAGAATCACCTTGTCCAAGGTTAAACAGGCAGTTAGCAGTCACAACACAGTTAAAACTACATCCAGGTCCTGTTCCAAAATTAGTCACAATAAATTAATCAGAAGCTCAACAAATAAGAGAAACTTTTTTATTCAGTTTCAATCAAAGATTATGAAATGAACAATTAATGACAATGATCTGTGGAGTTCTGTCTCCCCTTTTACTTCCTAACAATTTAAATATAAAAAGTTCTAAATTATAACCCACTGTTATTTTTGTAATAAAAACTCATTTCCCATAAAAATAATGTTTTAGGTAGTTATTAAGCCAACGCAATTTATAATTTAACTAGAAAACTATAATCCTTCTATGACACTAAAGGAAATACACACTACATAAGCAGTCTGTCTCTCAATCCCCTCTACCTCTTTCCTTAAACTTTTCTAAAAGCACTAGTACTTTTAGAAGAAGGTTTAAATTAGAAAGAATGTTGGAAGAAAGAGTTTTGAGGAACATAATGAAGGAGACTTGGAGGCACTGTGCAAGGTTTTCAAAGGTAACAGCAATAGGTTTCTCAGAGAATAAAATATCACTCTTAAGAATCATCACAGAACCAAGATAAATAACGCGAGACAGGTAGAGAGATTTTCCTGAGGTAACAGAGACAGCAACGGAAAGGAGTTGCAAAAGACAAAATGAGAACTGTAAAGGAATTAACAGGGACACTGCACACTGAGAGGCAGAAGAAACAGTGCAGCACTGCACTGCAACAGCCCCACAGGGCAAATTGTAACAGCTCCCTCCCCAAACTATAAGGTCGATCAGTGAGTGAAACCACTAAGAAGTGGGGATGGGATTGCGGGTGGGGGTGGGAGGTAGTATCTAGTCATCTGGGTAATTTTTACATGTTAGGCATTTTTAACTCAAGAAGTACATATACTGAAATCTACTGATGCCTACAATTACTGTCTTAGATATTCTCATTTTTGCTTTCTTGTGATTAGGAAAGACGAATAACATGCTACCCAAATCTTTTCTGTTATAAAGGGCACCCTGGAAGCCACAATCATCTAATGCCAGATGTCTCTTAGTTGGCCTGCTCTCCTCAGCAAGGAAAATAGCTGCCAGGACACATGCATACCACACCATCAGAGAAAGGGGGGAGGGGGGGGGAGGGAGACCAACCTGCCTCTGCATTCAGCTCCTCTAGAAGCCCGCTGGTCCTCCAGGTAGCTCCTGTGTCCTGGCCTCCTACAGAATTACTGTGCTCTTGAACTACTGCAGCCGCCAATAAATTGTCCACATTTACCACTTCTGGCTCAGAGCTGGTGTCAGACATATCATAATGAGCTACAACTGGAGGTCCATCTAGGGAGGAAAGAAAATGTATACTTGTATCTAACTTGTGGGGTGAAAAATACTTCTGCAACTAAGAGCCCCCTAAATGCCAGTTGTCTTTATCTTATGATTCTACATGGTCAGAAAAGCTGCACTTTATACAATCTAATATTTTGTATATGATATGAAAGTGAAAGAGATAACCCGAGCTTACAAAGATGAGGGACACATTTGGGAAGGAGGAAAAAGGGTGTTATTATGAAGAACAAAGACAAGAATATACTGAACAAAAGTTACACTGAATTCCTGTCATTCTCCTAAAGAGCAAAAGATTAAGAAAAAGGGGAAGACTCTACAGTGAAAGTGAAACTGATTTTTTAAAGAAAAACACTGATGCAAACTATTAAGCTCAATTTATATTTTAAGAGAATGAATCTAGTTTCTTCCTCTTAGTAGCTAATACTAGAAGTCCCTAATAGATTCAGAGAAGAAAATCAAATATATATTTTTCTACTTTAAGAGCTCTACTTGACTGACATCTATTTCCAGTAAAGCTCTTTTATAATATTAGGGATGTTATGCACCTTACAATATTCTACAAAAAGATAATGCTCATGAAATCCATCTTCAGGATTTTGCTTTCGATGTCTTATGAGGGATATTTCTATTTTATTTTCCCCGAGAAAAACAACCAGCTCACACTCCAAGGAAATGATACACAACCTTATGGGTTATATGAGAGGAAGATGTTAAAATTCTTAGAAAAAAGAGATCCCTTCTACCTCCAAATCACCCTAACTAGCTGAAAATGGCAGCTGAGCTCTGAAGTAATTATACTGCAGTGATTCATGCTAAAATAATTCAATATTCATGCTTGTAGAATAGATACATGCTTTAAAATGCTACCCCCTTCTAATATAAAAGCAGAAAGCAAAAATAAAGTTTTCAGTCAACTATGAAACACATCCCTTACTACTACTGCCATTTTAAAATAAAATGCTTTTCCTTCCCCAAGAGCTATTTATGAAGTGCAAGCAAATCACTTATTTCCATAAAGATTTCTTAATATAATCCAACAAATTAACATTAAACAGACCTAGTTTATGAAACTCTTGACTATGAAGGAATACATATGCCAACGAATCATTAAAATAGAACACAATGAAGGATTACTGTTTTAATACAAACATCCATTGTGTAAACTGTCACTAAACAAAACATGGAACACACTTGGGGTACTTATCCCTTAAGACTAAGTTCCCAAGCCATAGGTTTATGTAGCAACATTTTTAAAAATGACCAAACATAAAAGCAAATGAATTGTTAAGTGCCACCGTATAAGGAACAGACATGTCACAATATGAAATTCTGACGATCATGACAATTTCAGTTGACTACTTAAGAATAATTTCCAATTCCCAAAAGGGTAAATCATGTTCATAAAATTCAAGACTGTGGCCTCAGGAGCAGTTAGTAATGGATTTTAGATCAAATAGCAAAAAACTGGTTCATGTCTGAGGTTTTTCTTTTCTAAAAAAGAAAAGCAAGCTGTAACATTTATGGAGTTCTCGTCAGAGTTCAAAATGATTATTATGGAATCAAGATACTGTGTGATGTCCAAATATTTGGTTGCAGAAAATACGAGGGTCAAGTACAATATTGACTATCTGACCAAATGTTCTATTTTTAAATGGGCTTTATTAAGTGTTTTGTGTTTGAAAAAAAAAATAGTGATTTATTTTAAAATTTATATCACAAATACCATTCACAACCTCTTGCCCTCACATTCCCCCCACCACAACCAAATTGAGGCAACAGGTCAACAGTCAAGTCAAAATTGTACCACTCCTACATGTGAAATCATGCAAAAAGTATAAGTGTATATGTACATGCAGAGTAACATCACCTACCCATGGAAATAACTTGTCTGAAAGTCTTCATCAGTAGGATATACAAGCATAAACTTGTTATCTGGCTTCATTCTTGTATCTTCCATATTTCCAAACAGCACACCTTATAGCTTAGCTTAAATTTAGTATTCATCATAAACAAAGACAGTAATATTTTCACATTTTAATTATACTTAAAAATTAAAATAAATTATCACTGTCAATTTTTATATCTAGTATATTCAAACAATGACAAGTCAGTACTATATCAACTTTAATAAAGTAAAGGAAAGGTTGCCATTCCAACTCTGCCTTCCAACAAGAAACCACAATTAAGGATCTTGTGTTCCAAGGTCATCTTATACTTATTAGCAAACCAAAATTAAATAAGATATGTTTAAAGCACTTAGCCTCAGGGCTTGGACTCTGAACCACTAAGTGTGAATATCAGCTAACTGATGGGGACAATCTGTGATATTCTTTTAAAACACGATTCTTGCTACACAGCAGAATTAAGAGACAGGTAAGATCCTTTTAAAATAAGTATCTCTTGAAGGAAAAAATAAAATCAAACCACTGAGGAGGAGTTAGAAAAACTCAGCATATTAATAACAGAAGCAGCTAGCTACGCTTCCAGTTTGACTCTACCAATTCATTACAGGATGGAATAAACATGAGCTACTGTCCTTCCTCTCGCTGATCGTTAAAACAACTGCACCGCTACCAAGATTATTTTGACTTTCAAAAACATCAAAATAGTCACTTCAAGTAAAATTACACGGAAACATTTCCAATTTAAAATGTAGTCACTAAGCAGTCCATATTTACAACATAGAAGGTTATCCAAACCGTACATTCTCCCATTTGGTATCTGTCAATCTTACAACATCAATTTATAATGATGAACTTAACTAGTTTTTCTATAGTCATTAAGAGCATCTCTCTATAAAGGTAAATTTAACACAATTATTTAATAACTACTTGGTCTGTAGTTAATCCAAGTGCTGTTTCTTCTCCTGATTGAAATATCTTGAAATTTTTGCTGCTCATTACAAGGGAAGAAAAATAAAAGGTCAAAGCAATCCACCGACTATGTTTTATTTCAGAACATCAACTTGTCTATATTACGCTAGATATGTTTGTGTCCTCTCTCTGACCTCCTAGTCTATAAACAGGTTCTAACTTTTCAAATACCAAAATACAGATGTATCTGTTCACCACACATTCCTGATACAGTGAAGTTTACCCCTGTGTGACTTTAAACCTTCTGTATTATTATCGACAAATGTTTAATTTTATGAATTAGTTTCCTTTTATTCAAATATGTTCTCTTCTAAATCTCATGGAAAAAATTTGAATCACAGAAACAAAAAAACAAAGCAAAACAAAGCCTAACATCCTCTACTACATTTATCTCTGACAAATCCCTCTTTTCAAAGTTAACAACAAAAAGCACAGAATTTTAGAACTATAGAATACATAATTTACCAGGCTCATTTTACAGATGAGAAATTTGAGTCCTCCGCAGGTGAAACCAGAATAGTTTACAGTTGTTATCAGTGGTGAGGGAATGGGAAATATACAGAATGAGCAGCATAGGGAGTACACAGATTTTTGGCAGCAAATACGTAGGTTAAAGTCCTGCCTACTTCTTAACTGTATGACCGTTTGTTCACAGGGTTATGGTGAAGGTTAAAGACATAACACAGAACACAATAGTTCAAACACTGGTCCAATGCCCCACCTTTCCATTATAATTAGCACCTACCCTACTTCATTATTTGCTTGCTTATCTTTGTATGTAAACTCTGCTGTACACAGCCTGCAAGCAAAAAGCTTTGAGAAATCATCACTGACTGGGCTGGTGCCTTCTATTGGTCATAGATTAACCCACTTGTTAAGTAAATGCTTTGCTGGGATTAATGAGGTCATCACACACGTGGCTTTCGTATTTTTATTTTTGTTTGAAGTGAAATGCCAGCTTGGATGTATTCATATGAAAGTGTTTCAAAGCCAAATAGAGATCATTTGGGATTATTTCATATTTGGCATCATTCTTGCCTACAGAGAGAACCCTTCCACTAACACAAGTTTTGTCAGTCTCCCAGTAAGAAATCTAATCAAATCTAGCAAACAGGAATTCCTCTAGTATCCCAGAGACATCTGGAAACACCACTCCTCCTTCTCTCTCTATTGCTAAGTCTTAGGCCCAAGAAAAGGTGGGGCAAATGGACAAAAACAGTGTTTGCTCATTCAATTCCCATTTCAATGGCTATAGTAATATACAATAAAACCCAGAATAAATTCCTTCTCTCCTCTTTACTACAGCCAATCTCCCAAAACCCCTCACTAGGAGAGAAAAAAAATCCACCTTGCTGCAAACGACCCCACAGAGGTTCTGTTGCCCCAGTCATTAAAGGGCCTAATAAACCCAGTGCCATTATCTACAACATCTAGAAAGAGTGGGAGGGGGTGGAAATCACACTCAGCCTCAATCCAGATAGTGAGATTCAAAAACAGTTACATCTAAAAAAGAGTTCTGGGCTTCCCTGGTGGCGCAGTGGTTGAGAGTCCACCTGCCGATGCAGGGGACACGGGTTCGTGCCCCGGTCCGGGAAGATCCCACATGCAGCAGAGCGGCTGGGCCCGTGAGCCATGGCCGCTGAGCCTGCGCGTCCGGAGCCTGTGTTCCGCAACAGGAGAGGCCACAACAGTGAGAGGCCCAAGTACCGCAAAAAAAAATAAAAAGAAAAAAAGAAACAATGCAAAACAAAGATCTGTACTCTATGTGTTTTTAGGAAGAAAATGTATATAATCTATTATGGAATATAAATCAGGTTTTTTGGTGTTTATGAAAAAGTAAAAGCAGCGGCTGGGCCCGTGAGCCATGGCCGCTGAGCCTGCGCGTCCGGAGCCTGTGTTCCGCAACAGGAGAGGCCACAACAGTGAGAGGCCCAAGTACCGCAAAAAAAAATAAAAATAAAAAAAATAATAATAAATAAATTAAATAAATGAATGAATGAATGAATGAATGAAGAGTTCTTCGAAACTACCTAGCCAAGGAGTCTAAGAAGGAGGAGCATGTGTGTGGTGACCAAGTAAGGAAAAGAAGTGTAGGGGGAATAAGGTGTGGGCCTGAGG